TTGTGCGAAGATCAACAACTGTGCCAAGTTTGGAAGAAATTGGTGTAGCGGTTACCAAGATATACACATGTAACCATATGTGGGCGTGGCTACGCCCATTTTCCAAACATTACTTATAAAACGAAAAATAGACAAAAAATTATTGTAAATATCAATTTTGAGTGAATTATCTTCAGCAGTTACTAAAATATCGCAGTTTTCGTATTTCTGGAAATTACCGTTATATGGGAAGTGGGCGTGGTTACAGTCCGATTTCGCCCATTTTCAATAGCAACCTACCTTGGATTAAGGGAAACCTACATACCAAATTTCGTTGAGATATCTCAATTTTTGCTCGAGTTATCGTGTACACGGACAGACGGACAGACGGACAGACGGACAGACGGACAGACGGACGGACAGACAGACATGGCTTAATCGATTTCTTTTTTCATCCTGATCATTTATGTATACATTTGTCTATATCTATCTCGATTCGTTTTGGCTGTTACAAACAACCGTTATGTGAACAAAATTAATATACCCTTGTGCACAAGTGCGCTCGGGTATAAAAATAAAGCCTTATTAAATGGATTCCCATATTTTAATAATTCGTTTACCATTTTACCTAATTTGAATTTAACATTTTAATCAGGTGGCAACCCTCTTCATAAATCGCAAAAATATTCTAAATATCCAAGCTAATGATTTCTTAACACTCCTTTGTTTGTAACCCATATTTAATTTTTTCAAACTAAAACCCGTTTCAATTTTTTTGGTCCGACACCCAAATTGTGATCATATTTCAATTACCCAATTGCATTAAGTTAAACTGAACTCGGTTTTTTAAACAGGTGACAAACCTCTTTCATGTAGTTAGAAATAAAGCATTTTCAAGACCATTTTGATTGATACTATATTATAATAATAGAATGTAACTTCTTAATTAATTTTGATTACATTTTTTGAAAGGTGGCAACTCTTTTCGAAAAGGTGAAACTTTATTTTACACCTTAGCAATTTATTTTTTGTAGTAATAGAATGTAACTTCTTAATTAATTTTGATAAAATTTTTTGAAAGGTGGTAACTCTTCGAAAAGATAAAACCTTATTTTATATCTGTAGCCCAAGCCCTTTAATTTGGCATCTAATTTTTGAAAATCGAACGAACGGTGCGGATTTAATGTCATTGATTATTAAATAATTCCAATTAAATTTACAGGTGGCAACTCTTTTCGGAAAAGTAAAACCTTATAGCACATCTACAGCCCGAGCCCTTTAATTTGACGCACGTCATTTTAGAAAAATCGAACGAACAGTGCAGATCTGATGGGCTGGAAAAAGTAAGTAAGTTAAGTATAGCGGATATGGCTCCGACACAGCCCGCAGGTCAAGACTAAGGCGCTGATCATCCTTTTTTGTATTATCCGATATTTGGAAACTACCACCTTGGCTCTGCATTATTTTTCTTTGCATCAACTCGAAGTACTATATCATTAGGTAGGTAGCAGTGTTGGCACTTATCGATTGATTATTTAATCAATTAGTTAATTTGATTAAATTCAATCGGATTACAATTAATCGTACTCTCTCATATCTCACTAAAGATGATATCCTCTCCCACTCCACCGTTCATTTTTGAACCATATGCGCAGTTTACTAAACTACCGGCTGGAGTATAGTAGTTTTCTACCTTTTCTTCGCTGCTTGATATTTTCAAGACGAAGCGCTTTGTAGAGCTCGGCCAAAATCGATTAGGCGGCTAAAGCGCCAAATAAGAAGAAGATATACCCGGGCTCAACCCCAATTTCCTACCAATAGCCCTCTTGCACGAATATCGGGTCGCAAACGCCTTCTCATAACGCTGGACTATGTTCTCCTTCCAGCTCAGTTTTCTGTCGAGAATGAAGCCTCAGAGCTTTACTTTATTCTTAAAGCTTAACAGGCTAACCTAGTATTCGCGGCTTGCGTTTTGGTACGCATGCCGTCGAATTTGTTTTTATGCGTCACCCGAAATTAGCTTGCGTGCGTTTGCATTTGATTTCATTGAACGAAACGTCAAATCAAAGAGTCACGCAGAACAAAAAATGGAAAATGAGTTATTTTTTACAATAAATTGGCGGCGTGCGTGAATATTAGGTTAGCCTGTAAAAGTCGTCCGTATTCGGACTCACTAGCGGTGTTTTGTAGCTTCTCGTAAGTCTGCGTTCAAACACGGAAACTCGAGTTTCTTATTATCGGCGATTTCTCTTTTGGTGTTGCCCTTTGCATTCACACATAGAAACTCTTTTGTACGCAATTGTTGTTGTCAGCTGTGAATCGCCAACTTGAATTACTCAGACGAACGAGAGCACAAAGCGTGTTTCCTGAGTACGGGCGACTCGGTACCCGTCCCCTTTCCTCGTCGCTCTCTCCCCTACAAGCTTCGAGTTTCCGCAACAAAAGTTTTCGTGTCTGAACGTCGACTAAAGAGAACAAGTTCTACTTTCCCCGAATTGACGCAGAGGCCACAACGCATCGCGACCATCTTGATGCATCGCGAAGTGCCCTCTGCATATTGTTACATTTTTTAATGACTTCAAAACCGCGAGAAGCACACAAATATATTTTCTTTAGAGGAAAGTAGCAATCAAACTAATACCAGTAGTTCATTGTTTAAGTACTCAACAAAGTTAGTCCATTTATTTCTCTTGACATAAATACTACTACATACAAATATAATCACAATACATAATTTTACACAAATTTTCTGCACTAAATATATGTATGTAAGTAAATACGAGTACATCTTAAGAGTGCACAAAAGTATAGATTTTAGCTTCACCATTTATGGCTTATGCATGAATTTGGCTCACTAAATCAGTCAGCACTTGTGCGATTTTGCGTGTAGTTGAAATTATTGAAAAACGTGTGGTTAGTAAAACTTAAAACAGTTTCAATGCTGAGCTCGAATACTTTCCGCTAGCTCCCATAATACCAATATGTCGTTTAACTGATTGGCTTGAAGCGGATTGCCTCCGCATAGTCACGCGCGTCTGAGAAGTTACGCTCTGGTTTGATGCGTATATCATTGGGATCGAGCTGAAATTCACCATTCCATTGTGTGGGCAGCACTGTGGGTTCCGTATTATATTGAAAGTATTCAGAGTCATCGGAGCGATTGCGTCCGGGTTGAATACGTGTCTCGCCACTCTTTGCAAATGTACCATCCCAACTGACCGGCAGGATAATCGGCTCATGGTTGCAGCCATAGAAATTCGATGTGTCGGTAATATTCTGATTGTGACGTCGCACTTTGGAAACATTGTTCGCAGCACCGTTTCCGTACACAAATTTGCCATTCCAACCTTCACATTTGATGGGTATATATTCGCTCTTCTTCGTCAAAGGCATTTTTATGTTTGTATGATTTTGATTATATATGTATGTATATTTATGAATATAGAGGTTTACAATTTAAATTTATGTATCCTTTTTTTTAAATCTTCTAATTGGAGATGGACCTGTTGTTATTTTATCGTTATTATATTTCTTTAAGCGCGCACGTTTTACGAGCTATGTCTACTGCTTGCTTTCTAAGAGCTTACTGTGAAAAACACGCAGTTTACCTATTTTAAAATATGAAATCGCTGTGAAAGTTGTTCGACCAGCATTTAATTGTTTTTTATTTAAACATATTATGGCGCTCCGCAAATTGATATTGCCTTGCCTTGGCTGTCTCTAGTTGTCTTCGCCCACACCAAGCCGTGCTCTGTTTTTGTTTCGTTCGTAATTCGTTTGTTTCCAACATCCCACCAAGTTGTCGACCGTTTCGCCATATAAGTTGAAAATCTCGGTACCATGGTACAGCGCGCGGTCGTAAACGCAGGGGCGGTTGTTTTGTATAAAATTGTTGTTTTTTCAATTGGCGCACGAGCTAAGCAGCGTAATTATAACGTGTGATTCCTCATGGAACATAACTTCCAACGATATACATACATACATGCATATATACATACGTACATCTTAAATTATGACAAGCCTGACTCATGGCTAAAAGCGCTTAGCTAACAACTTCTCGATTTTTGTCTATTTTTAGTTATGTTGTCGCGTTTTTCGACAACTAGCTAAGCGCAGTTTTTTATGTACATTAACTTGTTTGCATATTTTGGTTGTTACCCTGCAGGAAACTTAATTAATTTAAAAGTAATTTATAAACTACTTTATTTTCAATGATAACTAATTGAAATTCTCACTATTTTACCTGCAACGAACTCATTTATTTAACATGGCGATGTCCTAGGAAGCAGTCAATTACCTTTTCCTGCATGTATTTTCAACTAATTTAAAGTGCATTTGGATTAAACAAACTTTAAGGTCAGTCGTTCGAATTCGCTTTCGTTCTGCACTTCACAGATGCTTTTTGATAATTAAGAAAACCCGAAATTTAACGATTCGCCCAATGAGATTTGAACATGGCACTCATGGCCGCAACCAATTGTAACAAACATCTTTGCACGCTCAGCTACAGCCATACATGTAAATGTGCTTCCAAATGTTCAGTTTGAATTGTGTGCAAGTAGCAAGTCGACTATCCGACTCTGCATTTAATTTGAACTATCTTAAAATGAATTGCGTTTAAACAACTTCAAAGTCAGTATGTTTCTTTCGAAAACGCTTGCGTTCTGCACTTCACAGATGCTTTGATACTTCCAAGACAGAAATTGTTTCTTTGAGTAAAAAAAAGTATCGAAACTCGAAACATTTACTCATTGCATTTGTTTTAAAGCAGTCCTTCAATTAGTTGATTTAAAAAAAAATCACTTGCTCCGTCAGGGCAACTCCTCAGATTGCCTCAACGTCAGCGCGCCTGCGCGTCTGCTGTGCGTTGCAAATTTTTGTTTTGTTATGACTATATATCATACATATTTGTACTATAGGCGTCAGTCTGGAGCTCGTTTTATTTGTTATTTGTTTGTAATTTGCATTCATTAATTGTGTTACAATATTTTTGCTCAAATGGCATTTGTTTTCCATTTTAGTTTCCGTATTTGCAATGCTACATATAGCAAATGTGTTCAACAATGACTGCATCGATGTGTGGGCGGAAATTTAAAATTGCTTTAGTGCTTGCGATATAAGTCGAAATTTTCTACAATAAAACAGTATTATTTTATATAATACGAATGTAATTGAACGGTAACAAATGACCAGTTTGGAAGTATCTACAACTGAAATATGGCAATAGCAGAATAAAAACGCACTGATTTAGCTAATTGCGGACAAATTAGTATACATATATAGAAAACTAATATATCGTTGAATCACAAAATGCCCCTCAGTGATCTTTTGCATCGAATTGTGCCAACGAACTGATTGTGCCTTATTAGCATGACTTTAAACTTGGGAAATGCACCATAGACCAGGTATTCACAATACCGAAAATCTTGGTAAATACCCGCGAGAAAAGGATTGTCAAAATGACGTGGAGCAATACCCCCAGCTCCGCCAGAATTGCGAAAGATCTCTCCAACCGATTAGCTACGAAACGGGGTTTTAGATAGGGCAACTCCCTTTCAAGCCTGGTCTGCCTTTTCCAAGTTGGACAAGGAAGCAAATAGAATAGGTCTGGTGGTAAACGAGAGGACAGTGACCCCACTAGCATACCTATGCCCTTATGATTTTGGGCCCGTTGTAATACCACTCGGGACTTTAGAGCCCCCTACGACGCTCCAATAGTCGGATAGGCGAAATGATTTTTACAGCGCCAGTCGAGCTAAGCAAACTCGCCGCTAGTTTAGAACCATCCGTGTAGTACTGGAGTAATTAATCCCTTATCATCGGGAGCGCCTACAAACTAAAATTCTCTATCTGGAATGGAAACCCTATACCTATTATTGAAGTTCAGATTTGGTACACAGTAACACAAATGCGCATAATAATCTTGCCCTGCCAGACGACACTTATCTGCATTTGGAAATAGCTGATTTGTTGTTGATAAAATTCTTTTCCTTCTGTATA